TTAGTCACGGTGCTTCCTTCGGCTGCCTCATGACCCCGCGAGTGAAGGTCTGTCTGAATTTGTTAGTGCTTTGGCAGTGACGTGAACTCGCTTTCGCAGGACGTGAGGAGAAAAAGTCTGGCGTGAACTACCTGTTCTACATTTTATTAGTTATTTGGTCATAGTTGCTTGAGGGAGCAACGGAAAGTAGGCTCCTGAGGGGATTTGATGAGGTGCTTAGTGACCCAGCTTTCTTGCAGGGGAACGCAGCAGCTTTTAAAATGTAACACGTGTCATGAAAAGGCACTTCCATATTTCAGACAGGCTAGAAATACAGCTGTGCTCAATTCATGTGCCATGTTGTTTAAAACATTTAGGCATTGTAGCATACTGAAGGACTCATTTATCCTTACAGAAGCACCTACTGAATTTTGGAAAAGAACTGTACAGAGCTGCTGAGCTCTATTTCCTTGCATTACTTCTTATTCAACCTTAATCATTGCACTGCCCAGGAATGTTAGGAGATGTGTTGGACAACTGTCAGATCTGTTTTTACCTTTTTACTGAGAGTTATGTGTGCTGTTCGTGGTGTGTTTTGTTGTTTGGGTTTTTTTTTTTTTTAGTTCTGGTTTGTTTGGCGTTTTTTTTTTTAAGTAGTGTGCTACTATAAGATGTGGGGAAGACAGTTCTTGAAGAAAGGTATCTTGTAGTAGAGATAGAAAATGATGGGGTTTGTAATGATTCTCAGTCATCACTTACGTGGACGCTTCCTATTGATGATCCTGAAACTTAATTTAAAGACTGTGACCTTGAATTTGTATTGTGTCTGATAGGAAGCTAAACACAGAATCAAAAGCAGATTTTGTGTGCTTATAGTGTTACTGGAAAGAGAAAATCTCAATATTCTTACTGTCCTTACAGCAAAATTATTCTACAAACTACAGCATCACCTGTCTGGGCAACTACAATCCAATATAAAGCAGTTGTCATTTGGTGAAAGAAAGTGTCCCCAAAGCATGGGCTGGAGAAAGTTTCTCATTATTTCTGTGAGAGTATGATGTCAGCAGGGCTGCGGAACCATTACTATTCTTTTGCATATGCCCTTCCAGGTACAGCTTAAGTTGTTTTTTAAAGCCACCTAGGACAACTGATCTCTTACATCATTTGGTTGATCATTGTTTTAAAGAACAAAAGTAAATTGTGGTCAACAGCCTGGTCCGGAGATATTAGAATGAATGTGTTTCTATCACCCATTCCTACCAAGTCATCCATTGCTGCTGCTGAGGGTGGTTCTGTACTTGGTCTTCCCGTGTGTCTGAGATTTAGAATACTTGTTTTAGCTGGATAAGCTTGGGGTTGGTATGTGGTTCACCTGCTTGCGTGGATCTATACCCATGCTAGCATTAAATTGGCGAGCTTGGGTACTAATATTAGTGTAGCTATGGTAACGCTGAGTGCACAGGAGCTGCAATCTCAACTAGAATCAAAGATTAATGTTAAGGCACCTAACCTGTGCCGACCTCTGCATTTCCTCAGCTGCACCGTTACCAGCATCTGTACCAGCTAGTTTAAAACCAGTTAGTACATCTACATGAGTTGTAGCCACTGCTGCAGTGTAGACAGATACTAATTAATTTTGCTCAAGAATAGAAGGTTTTACCATGGTGAAGTTGTTCTAATAGCTCCTGATTGATTGCGCTGTAGCCTATCTGAAGAAAAAAGGGAAGATACAACTTTGTTCACAGAAGGTAACCTGGGTCAAGAACTTGGTGTGTTTGAAGCTTCTGAGGAATTAAATATACAGCACTTTGTGACTTCTGTTTGTCTTGAAAGGCTTCAGTGGAGAAGCACTCATGGATCCAAATCTACCTTAGTAGTTACTCCTAAGAATCTGACTCCACATGCAAACTTCTAATTGAGATAGTAAACTTATAGGAAAATAATTCTTTTATGGAGATAAAATCATATTGCCCGTTCTTTGTGAATATTCTAAGCGTTTAAAGGAAAGACTGAGTAGCTTTTGCAGTTTTACTTGAGAATTTATTCACTAAACTCATGCAAGTATTGAACCGTTTTTAGTTGTCATGTTTCCTCTAAAGGGGTTCTCTAGTCTGTGAAATTATTATCTTATCTATAGGATTTTACTGTAACACACTCATGTAAAATGTTTTGGAGGAAGAAAACCCAACTCTTGCGATGATTGAAGTTGTCTTCAGTAGCTGTAGTGTACATACTTGAAAGGCCATTCACGTATTTCCCCTGAAATTTCAGTGCAAGTTTGTGTTTTACATTCACCTGGCAGTTTGTATTTCACTGTAAAATTTGTTTTTAATAAAGTGATGTCTGCTACTGCTGTTCTTTAGTTTCAATGCAACTGCACATTTCCTGCAGTGTAAATGAAGAGTCATTCATTGAAAAGGGAGTGGTATATGTTTTGGTTTGAATAGGTCTTGTAAGATGAAGCTGTTTCAAAGTTGACACCGATTTCTTTCTTTTTTTCTTTTCTTTTTTTTTTTTTTTTCTAGAAAGTGGATCATTGTTGCAGTTGATTTTTGATGGGAAATATGAGGCCATATTTTCCAATTCAGCCATCCGGAATGTTTTCAGTGCATCTTCTGTGACAGAGGAGAACATTGACAGTTACTTGGAGAAGCAGATCCTAGCATACCTGGACTGTTCTGCAGAGGTTGATAATGTGGAAAGGTAGAAATTCTTATTTATTTTATGGAAGATTAATACAGGCCATGATTGATCTTTACAAAAGGCATTTTTTTTATTTTATAATATGTGACATAGGGCATCCAAAATTTTTGTTCTGACAGAAAAACAGAGAACAGATTTCTTGTGTTGTTCCCCCCACTCCCCTGGGATATCTATTCATTATCATTGTTTCTTTCACTGGATAATATTGTGACATGGGGGGTTGTTAAAAACACTAGCTTTGTTTACAGTGATTACCTCTGAAGCTGCTGGTGTGAAGAAGCCAACAAATGTAAATTCATCTATCGTCAAACAATTTATTAACAATTTTCTCTCTGAAACGTTGCATTACATTTATGTGACTGCTTGAAGTACAATGTAATGTTACTGTCCAAGCCATGCCTGTATTTCTAAGTCTGACTCATAGTAAGGTTGTTCTATTCTTCTTAATGTAAAATGAGTAAGATATTACTCATGGATGCTATTCATCGATTAATTATTTTCTTCACAAGACTTTCTCTGATAAATTCTCTAATTATACTGCATATGCTAATTCTTGCTGTTAATGAGTCTGACTTTATGTAGCGAACTGTAAATGCTAATGAACAGACTGAAATCTATCACACTAGGGGTAGTAGAAGCAGAAAACTATATATGTGTGTGTCTGTATGTGTATATATATTTGTTTATTTTAAAAGGTGAGGGTGGGAAAAAGTTTTGCTGAAAGAAGAGCAAAAGGTAAAGAGGTAAAGGTAAAAAGAAAGTAAGAGAAAAGTAATGTATTGCCAGTAAGCGTGGCTGAGTACAAATGCCTGTGTTTCCCTGTGACAGACACAAACCCAAGAATTTTTTGCTAAAATACCAGAGAGAAACAAATAGTTGGCACCTCTAAAATATTGAGCTGAGATTTGTTAGTGATCATAGTGTATCAAAAGCTTAACTTCTAGTGTGGTACACAATGCAGTGCACTCCTGCCTTCTGAGTTGGAGTTTTCAGAGGTGTTCCCGTGCGTTTTTGTCTCTAGGTGGTTTTTTTCCTTTTTTTTTTTTTTTTTTTTTTTTCCTTTCTTACTTTGTGCTATTGCTGTTAAATATTAGCTGGAGGTTAGATAGTAGTATAGTCTAGAAAAATGTTTCAATATTGCTAGATTCCGCCACCTTGCAACAGTTTATTCTGAATAATGTGGCAAGGAAAGAAAGATCAGTCAGGGCCTGGAACAGACCCAATCCTGATCTTAATCATTGCTTGAAGTATGTGTTGCTGCTTTAAATATGTGTTGCTGCCTTTATGAACCATTCAGCTTCTTAAAGATAGTCACAATCTATATCATGCAGTCAGTAATAGTTTATACGTATCCTGCCATGGTGATGTGTCCTTGTCTCCTGTTACCCCCGTGAGTCTTTCATGGCCTATGCACCATTTATAGGATTCTGTTGCTGCTGTCCTACTGCAGACAGCAAAGCAATTTGTTCCTCAGGTGCTCATACTCTAGCTCTTCCGTCTTTGAGGCTTTTCTTGTTTCCTCTGCAATTCTGGGCAGCATTAGAAGCCCCTTGCCAGAAGATATGGTGGCAGATCTGCAATATTTAGCCTTTCAGAAGCAGACAGAAGGTTTTCTGCCCCAAACTGTAGCCTGGAGTTTTATTCAAAGTGAAAGCGCGTAGTCTTCAAAATGTATCAGTGTCTGCCAGAAATGGTTTTTGTTTGTAGCAGTCAAGTGAATTTTTCAAGCTCCGTTAGTAATAAGATAAGAAGCTTTGAATTATATTAGTGCTGAAGGAAGGAAGTTGTGACTTTCTCTTGATACAAAAACTTCTACTGAAATCAGGTAATTTCCCATTTTAGGTAGGCTTTGCTCACAGCGCTTACATCTGTATGTTTGTTTGTCTCCAATGACTTTCTAGGTTAAAAGGTGTTAAATAGTTATTTTTTGTACCTACAGGCCCTATGCCCTGTGACTGCCTTATGGAAGGAATTAATGTAGCTTTTGCACTCTAGCCTTCCATTGCCTATTTTGAAAATGGTTTTGTCTATTTTTTTTATCGTGAAAATGTAATTTTTTTCCACTGAGTTACTTAAAGGAAGTGCAGCAAACCTCGTAAGTTCTAGCTCAGAAAGTTCAGTAAGACACTGGTTTCCTTGTGATTTTTGGTAGATGGGCTTAGTTCAAATATATGCTTTTGTTTCCTGAACTGGAAGCTGTAGTTCTGGAGATTAAAAAAACTCAAAGGGACTTGAATTCAATTGGAAACAGAAAGTTGGATAATGTTAATCTTATTCTTTTAGCACAATACAAACACAGTACAAAGTACGATTTATAATAGCGTCAAAAGAACTCTTAACGAGTTCTTCTTCTGAAGCTAAAACTGAGCAGCTTAAGGGCAAAACAGCTCAACATTTGGATCTAGATTATGATTTCTTTGGACATAGCTTGTAACTTTTTCCACTTTCAAATCTATGGTTCTGTAAGGAAAATATTTAACGGTATTTTAAAATTTTCTGCCACTTTTTTCGATTATTTTAACTGCTTCCCTCCTTCCCCTGCCCCAGACATTTTTTCACTATGGCACTTTTAACCTTTATGGCATAAAAATGAAGATGTAAATCATTCCTTAGAATAAACTTATTGAATGGATGATTTATTTTTTTACTTTTTTCCTGCCATTGCTACTCACTTCAGTGGTTAACAGTTACCTTCTACAGAAAATGTAGCTTCATAGCTTTATTTTAAATCAGCAAATTGTAGAGGATGAAGCAATAGCATGTATGTTAACCATGTAGAGGGGGAATGCCTTTTTATTTTTTCCTGAGCTCTTTATGAAGGAGGTGCATTCATTGCCTGACATACAGTTTGATTCTAAAGACTGTAAGGAAATAGTGTGCAGGACACAACAAAACGATAGAATATTTTTGGAGAGCTTGTTTCAAAAGAGCTTGAAGGTCTGTTACTACATTTGATTCCAAAACCTAAATGAAGGAGGAAATGAGCACTAACACTTGTTTTTATTGACTGTGTGTTTACTACTTTTACCTTATTCAACATTAAATTAATCGTAAACTTTCCAAAACAAATCCATACGATAAAGCTTGTTATGATTTCCCAGCTTGAACACTGAATGGTATTTCTCTTGGGGCATCTGGTGATTGGTTAACTCGTTTGCTATATATATATTTTGAAAAATAAAAATTCTTGCTGTTTCTGCAGCTTGCTTTGATGCATATGGATTGGAAAAAAAAAACAAAAAACACCCCGAAACCAAAAACCAAACCCTAAACTACTCAGTGTCTAACTTTGCTTTGATTTATCTTCTAATTTGTGGCTTCACTAAAAAGAAAAGAAATACTCTCCAAATCTGTAACCTAATCTCATCTTTAAGCATAGCCTGGCTATTGAGTATTTTCTCGCTCTTACATTTTATTTGTAAATTCTAGCATTATATGCAAATCTGTTATTTTTTCAAATATAAATGCTCTATTACACTTTATTTGGAATTTGAGCATGATTAGGTATATCAATATGAATATTACAGTGGAGTGTATACAAGCATCTGATTTTTACATTGTGGATCACAATCCTACTGGACTTGGTGTAAGCAGTGTTTAAAAAAAAAAAAAAAGGCCGCAAAGCCCCTATTCACATAGAAAAAGGAAGATCAAGATGGATGGTTACAGACATATGTCTAAGGAAATATAAGAAATAAATTAAACTATGTAGATCACTGTAGTAAGTGGGACACTTGCAGCTGTTGCTTTTCAGGCAGCCTTTGGGAGGTGAGCGTTTGCAGGTCTGCATTGTAAGTGTGAAGGGCAGTCAGGGAGACTGCAATTTTTTATTGGAAAAAAAAAATAGGGGGTAGGCAAGGGAGGCTAGCATTTGCAGGAATCAGAGCTTGGAATTGACTTTCTGATACAGAATGAGTGATAAGGAGACTGGAGGTTGGTCATGGATCTGAAAATGAGGAAAAAAATCAATCGGTGGTGACAAATTAGCCAGTGGAAAGACAATATGCCAGCCAAAGTAATGGAATCTGTTATCAGTTGTTTCAGAGGCCTTCTGCATGGATATAACTTTGTCAAGGCTTCAAGAAGTTTGCCTGCCAGCTAGATAGATGTCAGTAATGTTAAAATAAATGAATAAAAAATATTAGTAGAAATAATAGTGTAAATGATAAAGTAAAGAAAATGTGTCTTAAAAAGACTTAAGTGCATCTGTCAAATCACAGTGCAGAGACGGTTGTGGGTTTGTGTGTAATGGTAATAATTTAGTGTACAGTGTAATTGTTTTTGATTTGTGTACTTGAGTTATTTGGAAGTTTAATGGTAGTCTTAAAAATGTATTCAAACAATATTTGCTGGTAAATAGTTACTGGCTGAATAATGACAGCTAGTAAATGTTATCTCGTCTTGTTCAACAAGAACTCTTTATACCAGTCCTTGGTCTCTAACTCTCCTGAAGGCTCTTCATTTTTTTTTTTTTTTTTGTAATCAAGCATTCCCGACCTCTGCTTTCTCATTTTCCATGTCTTTTGTCGCATTCTTGCCCACCAGCCGCTTGTTTATGTGTGGCTTTTCAATTTCACTTTTTTTTTTAGGGGTTGTATAACACTTTATCCTTTTGTTTCCATTTGGAGGACTCTTACATTTTTAAGTCCCTGTTTTACACAAAAGAAAAAGAAAACATTAGGTTTTTCCAATTCAGTTATGCTCCTTAACATACCAATTTTTAAATCAAACCAGCATGATTAAAATTTTAAGTTTTTGTAAGCAGGAGGCATGTTATGTATGTGAATATGTGACAGGGCCCTTGTTGGCAAATGGCTGATTATAACACATCAAGGTTCTAAGTCATTAAGGAATCCTAAAAGAAACCAGAAGTTTGTATAAATCTCCTGAAAGTCTACACCTGTTAAAGCAGCCATTAAATTCTGAGGGATTGTGCCCTGCCTTCTGTAGACCGCTTAGTTTATTTGTTACTGCAGGTGCATAAAGAAATAATATCATAATGATGTTAGATAAGTTTATTCTTGTAAATAAGGAAAACTTTACCATACTTAGTTTCTGGAATGAAACAAGATCTCATAATTCCATCTTAAATTAAAAAGCACGATTCAATGAGAGAACATTTGCTGCCAAAGTATCTTACTTAACCAGCTTGGAGGTGATAGGTTTTAACTTTTTGATGTTCATTTAATGGTTTTGTTATCAGAGGGGGTGAAAATAAACAGCTAGGTAAAAAACAAACATGCTGTTTTGATACATGTGATAATGCAGTATCTTTTCTCTGAAAATGCTGAGGATTAGATGCATCATAAAAAAATATAACAACTGTGCAATAGGCAAATATGCGATAATCCGCATCGTATGCTAATCTCCTTCTGATCTGTGATAGTTAGATACAACCTTAAATTTTGAAACACATGAACTAACTCTACTTCCAAAATGTTTGTCATTAATAACGATTATAAACAAATGTATTTCCAAACCTTTTAGTTCCCCATGTGCTTTCTTGAATACTACATTAATTAATCTTATTTTCCTAGTAAGAGTGGGTTGTGTTTGTTTTTTTTTCCTGAGGCTGAGGGTTCTGAATTAGTACAAGAATTAATCAGATCTTGTAGCCTTAATTAAAAATAAAATATGTTGCTAATAGCTTTTCTTATCTATATTGCAGGCAGAGGCTGATGTTTCTACTTGGTGTGGGCAGTTTGCAGCTCTTTGTTCAAAGCAATTGGACTGGGCCTCCTGTTCAGTTAAAGCTTCAGGACTTTTTGCCACCTGCATTGTTACAGAAGTTCTCTGAGGTATACTTGGATTTTAATAAGCTGTCCTTTTATCATCACTGCTTTTCACAAAAAACCACAACACATAGATGGTTTTGGATGGGGAAGATACGTTTATTATATGGAAGCATTTACTCAAAGGGCATTCGCAGTCAATACACTTTTTAACTATTTTGGGATGTGTTTTTAGCTGGATCAAAGAAAGATAGTTATAAATAGCTTAGAAATTTTCCCTCCTTAAGGTAAGGTAAAAGCTGCATATCTTGCAACTAGCAGAATATATGGCAGATACTAAGAGAACAGTAGATTTGGATGCTCAGTGTCCAGTTAGGCTCATGGGTGATGCCAAGTGATTTGTAGTAGTTATAGTACAACAATGCTAACTCAGATAGAGCTTTTGTAAGAGGAGGAGAATGTAGGAGATGAAACTGAGGACTGTCAGTTTTATTTACTTTGACATCTTTTAATGTAAATAACTAATCAACACCACAACTTCTTTTTAGTGAGATGCATATATCGTTTCTCACGGCAGTACCACTCTCCATCTCGGGACTCTCCTGCACCTGTGGTGCAGCACAGCTTCTTAAGCATTAATTTTTCTGTTGGAAATAAAACTGTGGTAAAATATTTATTACTGCAGCATGTCAGGGAAAAACATATCACTGGTCTCTGCTAATGCTAAATCTACATGCGTTTGAATTTATAATTTCACTGTGAATAAGGTATAGACTATAAGCAAAGTAAATGCTGTGAACTGTGGAATGAGGGGAAGTTTGAGTATATGAAAAGTTTCACATAAAACTGTCCGATCCATGTTGCATTATTGTGGCGTGTTTTTGCAAGAATGTCATAATTCATGAAGTCCTGCCCCAGGTTTGTTTGTAAGGTTGTATTTCTAAATAATTAATTCAGATATACTGTATCCCTCCCCCTTTTTAAACAGATGTTTATCAGTTTGGTTTATCTTTAAGAGCTGATGTAGTGTGCGTATAGGCTTATTTTTTGCTCAATTTTTGATACTAGAAATTCGAATTTCATCTTCTGATGACTAAAGTAACAGTGGAAACAAAGTGTACTAAACCTTTTGGGATGTGAAATGAGTTAGCAGAAATTTTGAAGTATGCTGTTTCTGTGGGGAAAAGTTCAATTTGCCTTTATATATAATCAAAAAAATAAGAAATGCAAACTCATTTCTTCCATTATCCTTATAGTTTGTTTATAATCTTTAAGATTATAGTATTAAAGTTTACTGAAGAATATTAATATTGTATGTTAGTGTATATGTGCAGGCTGCAATCTAACACAGAGGCTGCAACCCAAGATAATGTCATAGAATTGCTGTCATTGACAGAGTTCACAGACCTGTAAAACACGATGTCCATAATTTCTATTTATTGTCTGTCTGAATGGAAGAATAAGATAGTAATTACCTGTTGAAGAGGGGAATATAGGTTTCCTGTTTAGTTTCATTATGTTTCTGCTGTGGCTGTGAATGTAATGCATTGAAAGATGTTTGCTTACGCAGAGGTGGTATGCCAGAAACCAAATTGGCAAGAGATTATAAAGGCAAACAGACTTGAGCATACTTGATTTCTACTGAGTACTGCATCAGACTTTGGTATTGGCTGCAAGGTTTAGCTATTTATACATTTAGGCAGAAGAACTTTATTTATATTACCGCTATCTATATTATCTTCTGAAATGTTAGTGGGTTCTTTCCCAAGTGCACTAAACATTTATGTGCTAAAATATAATATCCAGTTTCCTTTATTAAACATCTTAATTCCAAAGCTTTTGTATGTTTTGAGTTACCTTTATGTACTTACTTTTCTTTCCAAGGATTCTTGGTATATAAACACTCTGTAAAAAATGAACATTTCGATAAACTGGCATTTTTGTGTTTCTATTAATCCGGCTTTCCTCTTTTGTATATGCAGATATTCAGAATAAGTGGGTTAAAAATATAGCTCTAATTTTCTCCATCTGTTGTAATCTTCCATATTCTGTCATCAAGACTGATACAGTTCCGTTTCCAATAGACCTTCAATTTTTCAGGTTTTCAGACTAAAATTATCTTTTCCCATGTCAAGGTCAAAAAATTATGTCTTCGTGTTTCTTTTAGCCTCCTCTAACTAATATCACTAACTTTCAGCCTTACAATGTCTCATTTATTTCAGGAATATTAGTCTTATTTTCAGAACACTTATTTGGATTAGTCTTAACTTTGTGCTTTCAGGCTATATAACTGCTGCCATTTCTATCCTTTGAAAGTTTCACCTCTGGGTCAGTGGCATAGTTTCATTTCTGCTCTCAGATAACTTCTGAATACACCATTAATTTCTTATGAGTGCATTAAGACTGCATGAGATTATAATTAATTTCAGTGAAGAATAAATAAAATGGCCTCTTTTAGATGACTTGCTGGTAGGGGCCTCTTGGATGTCTTCCATAAACAATATTCATGAGTATGTGTAATTATTTCCCATCCCCCAAATTGATTCCAGCCTCCTCTGTAAATTACAATTACGTTCATGTACTCTATTAGGATTTCTTTTTATGTCCTGCAGAACTGGCTTGTGCTTTTTCACTTCTGAGTCCACACATAAAAGTAGTTTGGTAATTCCTAAACAGAAAATGAGCTAGCGTTTTAGTTATTGGGTGTCTTTCAGTTTTCTAAAATAACTTTGAGGCTGTGCCGTACCAACTAAATAGTCTGACTGATACTACCTTGAGTTTTTTAGTAAGTGAATTGTGTAAAAGGAAGATACAAAAAGTACTGCATTTCGGTTAAAATGGATTACCAGTTCTGGCTTTGAACTTGCTGGGATTAGACTAAAACATTTGTAATGAGCTAAATGCTTAAAGTAAGTGGGATATAGAAATAGGCTCCTTGTGTCTTAAAGAACAGTCACTGTCTGCCTGCATGTGAGGGAATAAAAGGTATAGAACTGTTGAAGTTGGAGCATGTTTATCCTGCCTTAAGTTTCAGAGTTTCTGAGTATTGGCTCGTACAATTTAGTTCAGTATTTTCAGTAGATGAACTGGACAAAACTGTGTAGTAGGACTAATTAAGACCACCAATGACTGTAAGAATGTTGTGATGACAAGCTGCTTTAATTGTTTGTTGTCTGAATTAATATTCACAAATAGGGTATATTTGGTAACAGTGAGAACCTCCATCTGGAAGAAGATCCCAACGTGTTAATTGATAATACATGTAAATAACTGGTACAAATCCTCCAAAAGCATGTATCAACAGCTCCTGCTGGCCTTTTTGTAACTTCCAGGTTGCTTGCAAATAATCAGTTTTGGAATGCATTTGAATAATTCTTTTCCCTTATATTTGTGTTACTGCTTCTTTTATGCGTTATTTGATCCTTTTGTTGGAAGAGACTGAAATATTACTACACTTCTATTGATACCAATAGCCATGTTCATAATTCATATGAAAAACACCAATGTACTATATAGTACTGCTGTTTCAAATCCAATATGATTCCTTAGCCTTGTTAATTCAGTCTATTGGAAATTCCTCCTTTTTTTCCAGACCCAGATGTTTGGCTTCCATTATCATAAACTAGCCAGAAAGAAGAAAGAGTTGAATTTTAGGCTGACTGATGTGCTGCTTGAATACCAGTGACCAGCAAGATACAGGCTTTGAAGATTCTGCAAATTTCTCCCTCTTGTGGGGAATATAAGGAGGGATGATAAAGGCTGAATATGGAGGCAGAGTCTTGTAGGTAGAGACATCTGCTACAGTAGCCTACAGTGTTGCCCTATGTTCCCTTGCTATGAATATGGACAAGAAGGGAGATTAATGCAGCCACTTGGAAAATATTCCCTTAAAAATGGAGCAAAGTTACCCTCATAGGGAATATGAACAAGGCATTCATAACTAAGCACATCTATATGTAGCACTCTCAGGAAAGACTTGCTTGTGCTAGCTCACCTTTATCTTCAGTCTGCAGCTTGGGTCTGCACCTATTGCTGGCTTGGATCCTGAAACTGAAGACAGCCTCCACTGTAATCTTATCTCCTTTGCAGAAAGTTGGAGAGAAGCAGATATAAACAAAACCATTTTTCCATCCCCTGAAGTCTGGAGTAAAGAGTGAATTCTGTTCCAAAGGACCAAATCTTTGGCTGGTAACCTCAGTACATCCTCCATTATTCTGAAAGTTATATATCACCTTAGCTTTGCCAAATGACAAGTTGTTGTGCAGTAGTCTTTGTACTGTTTAAGGTCTGAGAAGCCCCGTATATAAGGCTTAGTATCTACATACAAATTCCTTATTTGATAGTTTGTTGGTTTCTCCCTCCTCCTCTTCATTTTTTAATTAATTCTTCCCAAGCCTTTAGTCTGGCTTTTTCTACCTCTGCATATGCCTACACTTAGCTTTTTAAGATTTAGGGGAAAGATCCCACGACTGAGAACGAGCTGATGAAACGTGAGGAAGGCCAGTTCACAGCAGTCCCTTATACAAAAGTAAAAGCATACCAAATGCCAACTTTGCCTCTAGTCATTATCATTAGCAAGAAAAGAATATGAAGCCTGTAAACTAAAGTTCTCATACACTCTATTCTCAGAGCTATTGAATGTGAATGGCAGAAGATTTTTTTCTGATTATCGTAATCATTACTCAGGTGGTAACAGCTGTGCTGGGAAGTGCTTTTGAAATACTGTGAAATAGCCAAGAGTACTGTCTAGCTTGCAGCTGATTTAGGGCTCTAGTAGTAGTTACTTAACAGTAGCTTTTAAGTTACTGTTTGGAAGTTGAATATGTAACCAGTTATGTTTCAGAGAATAAAATAAATATGTATTTACAGTGAATTGAGCTTCATTTGTTTGTATTTAGTCCAGAGGTGCTCAAATGGAACCACCTGCAGGTGCAACAGAAACTGGATGATCACCTCAGAGATTTCTCAACATATGTTCATGAAGTAATTGTCTAGTATATGTTTCGGTGCTTTAAGAAAATAATTCCTGAATAAAATAATTACATGTTTTGATGGCAATTCTGGTGAAGAATGGAAAGACTAAACACTCTAACCCAGGTTTATTAGGTCAGGAACATTCTGTTAGCAAGTCTTGGGTTGTGGCCATTTTGGGATATGTGAAATTTTTGAGCTGTATGAGATTGGTTCAACAATGTTTTAGGGATTTTTGTGGACTTGATTCCTAACGTTTTAGCCCTTGAAGCTGTAAAAGCTTAAATGTCTACCTCTTTTACATACGTAGCTGTTCTCTCATCTTAAAGACTACCTTAGGGCAGTAAATTGTTAGAATTCTGCACTGATAATGCAGTCTTAGAGCAGAAGTTAGAAGAATGGATGTTAGTTTAGGCTTTCTCAGCTAAAAGAAAAAGATACCTGCTTTCCTGTATGGGATTTGCTTCCTGGAAAAGAACATGGATTTGTTAAAATAGAATATAGCAGTTCTTTGGCTCTGAGATGTGTTGGCTTATTGTCAAGGCTGTGACATGTCATCATCTATCCCTTTCATCATCTATCCCTTCTCCCTCCCTCATTACATTCCTTGTAATGTTACATTAGCTGGACTGAGCTCTCCAGTGAAAGGATTTGAAATGTGAATTTGAGATTAATTGGTTGCTACAGTGCTTGAACAAGTGTGGATTATTATAGCATAAATTTCATTCTAAGTCTAAAATGGTCCTATAGCAAAGCTTACAGCTTCTTTGCTTTTCCACTGTTTTAAGTGCTGTCTACTTTGATTATAGAAAGAATAAAAAGGAACAGATGGGGGAAAAAAAAGTTTAAGTTAAACTGAAAATTATATTAGGTGTCCTATTATATTGAATCTTTAGAAGGATTGAATGATAACTTTCCCTCTCAAAATCAGAATAGAGATGTCGGTAAGGCTGTTCCTTTCTGAATCACTAGAGGTGGGAGGGATCTGGTATACTTCCATTTGGCAGTTTCTTTCCTCTATTCTGAAGTAGTTTGTCAGACTACTGTGAACTTTGTTTTCCAAACGGTGGGATTGAAATGACTGCAGTGGTGTCATGCAAGAATTCCACTTTGAGTGAAGAATTTAAAGTCCTGAGTTACTGTCTACAGAGTAAAGGTATTTTCACTGTTAATGCAAGATAAATAATTAACAAACCTAAGCAAATCAGGAAAAAAAAGCCTTAAGATTACCCAGTCATTAATAAGTGAACTAGGGGAATAATGTAGCTTAACATTTTTTACTTTAATGTAACCGGTTGGTAAAGGTATTGAAAAGAATGTCAAGTAACTTGGGACTTACATTATTTGTTTAGTTTAAAAAGCTGAAATGTGATTCTCATAACTTCCATCCTGGTTGTGTAGACTGAATAAGAATCTTTCAGACAAGTGACTTCAATGCAAGCTGTCATTTAAGCTTTTCTTCTTCTCTTTCCC